CTGTCTCTCTGTCTCTCTGTCTCTCTGTCTCTCTGTCTCTCTGTCTCGGTCCCTCCCTCTCCTGCTGTGTCTCTCTCCCGCTCTCGCGCGCTCTCTCCCTCTTGCACCTCCCCCCCCAGCCCCACTCTATTTCTCTCTGTTCCCCCTACCCGCTGTTGCTCCCTTGCACAAAACACTGGGGAGACTATATCTGGAGGACGATGCACAGTCGTGAGCAGATTCACCAGGAGCTGCTGCTGGGGGCTCTAAGTGTTAGATGGAGAGAATACTTAAACCGGGGAATATACAAGTGGAAGGGGAGGTTTGATTGAGCGTTTTAGGATTTTGAAAGAAATAGAAAGAGTTGATAAAGACAAATGTTTTCCAGTGTTTGTGACTGTGTGTTGCTGGGGGTTGGAGGAATCTGTGCTGGTGAAAGTGAACCTTAAAATGAGCATCAAGTTATTGAGAGGAAAGTTAGGAAGGACATCTTAGGAAGAAGTGTGGAACTCCACTCCCCAATAAAACAGCAGGTGCTGTCCCAATTCAAGTTTGGTAACATTTTTGCTAAATGATGGAATAAATGGACAGAGGTTGATGGGGATAGTAGGAACTGCAGATGCTGGAGAATCTGAGATAACAAGGTGTAGAGCTGGATGAGCAGGCCAAGCAGCATCATAGGAGCAGGAAGGCTGACGTTTCGGGCCTAGACCCTTCTTCTAAGGAATGCTTTCCAGCTCGACGCCTTGTTATCTCAGAGGTAGATGGAGTTGGCCTCTCTTCCACTTCCTCCCATCTGAAAACTCCGGCTTGAAGCAGCTGACTATTCAGCAACAAAGGCATCACAGCTGACCCTGGTGCCTGCAAACCTGATGTCTTTAAACGTAGAATTCACGTTCCTTCCCTCCTTGTGGTTATCCAGCTCCACGACATCCCAAATAATCATGGCAAGCACTCCCTGTCGGAGTGGGTTCCTGGCTGGATTTGTTAACAACTGCTGCCCTCTGCTGGAATGTATCGCTGAGGACACGGAGAGGCTAAGCATTGATGCCTCACACAGTGCAATATCCCAGGACACTGCAACCTGTCATGGAGAAGGGCTGTTTTGTGGATGTTGCTGGAAGGCACTTTTAGAAACTGCCAGAAGCTACGGGAAGGAATACAAATGGATAACCAGACAGGCTCAATGGATCAGCCGATTATTTTCTTATTATGATGTGATTTTCAGATGATCAGCTTTACAGTTTCATAATAAATTGTCCCACTTTGTATGACACTGATCTTTTTCTGACAGGGAGACGATTACGAGGGAAAGCTTTCTATAATGTGAATGGCAAGGTGTATTGTGAGGAAGACTTTTTGGTGAGTTTATTATCCTCCCCTGATCTCAGTGACTATGTGAAAACTGCAGCTCCAGGATCCTCAGTGACAAACCCAGTCCAGTGATCCCCGATTCTGAACTGGGGCCTGTGTTGGAGGGAATTCCTCTGTTTAACACTCGGGTGATCCTCTTGGTACCAGACCGTGTAAATCCCCTCAGCCCTACCATCCTGGGAGACCTTTCCCCCAACCCTATCATGGTCTGGTGTTGTTTTCCATCGTTCGTATTAATAATTAAAATGTTATTGAGTGGGATTTGCCTTTGCTTTCACTGGCATTGGTTTCTGGAAGAAATTCCAAGCCTCTGATTCTGATGTTTGTTTCAGTGATGTCAGCAAATTGTAATCAGTAACTGTCGGGTCATTGGATTTCATCCATTGAGTTACCTTTTGAAAGGGTTGTGCCTCCTCTAGTTGAGAGATTCACGTTCTAATCACTGAGTAAATACCTCCTCATTACCTTGTTGGGTTTTTTTTTTTACTATCTTGTCTTTATGGTCCCTACTTTTGGATTCTTCCACAAGTAGAAATATTCTCCCTCACTAACCCCCTCCAACCCACTCAAACTCTTAAACACCTTCAATCAGAGCAAAGGAAAACTGTTTAATCTTCCACAATAACTACAATCTCTCAGTTCTAATACCATTGCTTTTTCTAATACCATCACTTTAAATCATTTTTTCTAAACTGTTATTGCATTTTCATACTACAGAGACAAAGCAAAGAAAGTTCTGCTAGATCTTTAGAAAACATTGCTTAAGATTAAGCTGGAGTATTGTGATCAGTGATGGTAAACCACCCTTTAGGTATAATGTCCAGGCCTTGAAGAAGGTGCAAAGGAGATTTACTGGGATTGTGTGAGGTCTGAGAGACTGGATTAATCTGGAGAGACTGCAGGAGCTACAGTGGTTACTAGAGCAGGTCAGTGGTTAGGAATGCTGCAGCGAATAACTTCCGTCCTGACTCCCCAAAGCCTGTCCATCTACAAGGCACAAGTCAGGAGCGTGATGGGATACTCCCCACTTGCCTGGATGAGTGCAGCTCCATTTACATGATGCCCTGCAGAAATTCACCAAGGCTCCTTCGACAGCACCTTCCAAACTCTCAACCATTTCAGTCTGGAAGGACAACGCCAGCAGATACATGGGAACACACCACCACCTGCAAGTGCCCTCCAAGCCACTCGCCACCCTGACTTGGAAATATATCGCCATTCCTTCACTGTTGCTGGGTCAAAATCCTGGAATTCCCTCCTTAATAGCATTGTGGGTCAACCCACAGCAAGTGGACTGCAGCAGTTCAAGAAGGCAGCTCACCCCCACCTTCTCAAGGGGCAATTAGGGACGGGGCAATAAACGCTGAACCAGGCATTGGTGCCCACATCCCACAAATGAATAATAAATAAATAAAGATGAAATCCATACTCCTGCCTACTAATGATAACCATTAACTCCTGTTCTTCACAAGAATCAATCTACATCTGCCTTAAAATATCCAAAGACTGCCTCATTTTCAGGAAGAGTGTTCCAATAATTCTCAGTCAGTGTTTGCTATAAGTTTTCATCGTGCTGTGTGCCCTGTCTGCAACATTGACTTCAGGAACATGAAGCAATGCGTTGTTACACCAGTCAGTGCATACAGAGCTCCCCAGAAGCTATACGTCTCACACTTTCCAGAGAGCAACTGCAGGAAAATGTCACCTCATTTGATAGTGGATTTTGAAATTCTGTAGTACAATTATCTCTACTAAATGAGGAACCAACATGTTTGCAACAGCAATCCTTATGGGCAATCACTTTCTAACCTTCTGTAGTCTGAAGACCTAGCCTTTCTCCCCACTCACTGCTTTCCAGCTCTGAGCTTGCATTTAAAGAGATTTAAAATAATTTGATCAGACCTGTTATTGTACACCTCTGGAGCAGTTGGGACTTGAAACCAGGCCTCTGGACTCAGAGGTTGGAACACTACCATTGCAATGAAGTTCCCTTTTTTGCATTTATATAGTGCTTTTTGTGACCTTAAGATGTCCCCAAGTGTTTCACAGCTGCTGAAGTGTAGTTACAGGTTGTAATGTGGGAATCACATGCAACTGATGTGCTGTCCAGTTAATTCCCCCTTAGCCCTGCTTATCCCCCATCACCCTGCCATTTTCCCTCTGTCAGCTATTCATCCAGTTCTTTTTTGCAAGCTGTCATTAAATTTGCTCCCACAGCTCTTTCATGTAGCACATTCAAGTTCACAGCAACCCTGGATGTAAAATTCTTCGTAGAACCGTGGAATTGACACAGCACAGAAGGGGGCCTTTCTGTCCATCTTGTCCATGCCAACCCTAAGACTCCCAGAAACCCTTTCTAATCCTATCTTCCTGCACATGGCCCATAGCCCTGCAGCTTACAGCACTGAAGGTGCAGATCCAGGTACTTTTTAAAGAGTTTAGAGTCTTTGCTTCCACCACCAACTCAGGCAGTGAATTCCAGGCACCAATCACCCTCTGTGTAAAAAAGTTTTTCCTCAAGTCCCCTCTAATCCTTTTGCTCAAATTGATGACCCCTGGTTTTTGAATTCTCTGCTAAGGGAAACGGGTTCCTCCTGAGTTCTCTGTCTCTACCCTCACAATTTTGTATACCTCAATCGTGTCAACCCTCGGCTTTCTCTTTTCCGAGGAAAACAACCCCAGGCTCTCCAGTCTCTGTGGCTATAATTCTCCAGCCCTGGCAACATTCTAGTAAATCTTTACATTCTGTCCAGAGCGATTACATCCTCCTTGTAATGTGGTGACCAGAACGGTGCACAATACTCCAGTTGTGGTGTCACCGGTGTCTTATACAATATCATCATTTATCCCTACTCTTGTCTTCTATACCTCTGCCAATGAGAGCAAGTGTTCCATACGACTTCTCTACAACCTTTAGGGACCTGTGCACTTGCACACCAAGATCTCTTATTTTATCTACCCCTCACAGTATATTCCTGATATTGTGCATTCCCTTTCACTGTTTGATCTCCCTAAATGCATTACCTCACTTAGCAGAGTTGAGCTCCCATCTGCCACTTTCTCATCTCCTCTATATTATTTTGGAGCTTACAGCTATCCCCTACACTATCTACTAAGCAGCCAATTTTTGTGTTGTCTGTGAATTTCCCAATTGTGTCCCCTACACTCAACTCCAAAGTGTTAAAGTATAAAGCAAACAGCAGGGGTCCCTGTGGGGCACCTTTTGAAACCGTTTTCCATTTGTAAGGGCAGCCATTGACCATTACCCTTTGCTTCCTGTTACTGAGGCAACTTTCCATCCAATTCGACATATCACCCTGTATCCCATGGGCCTTTACTTTATTGACCAGTCTGCCATGTGGGACCTTGTCAAATACCTCACTTAAATCCATGAGGACAACATCAACTGCGCTACTCTCATCGATCCTCCTCGTCATTTCCTCAAAAAATTCAATCATGTTGGTAAGGCATGACCTTCCCTGACCAAAGCCATGCTGCCTATCCCTGACCAGTCCATGCTTTTCTAAGTGACAGTTTATTCAATCTCTCAGGATTAGTTCTAACAATTTGCCCATCACTGAAGTAAGACCAACTGGCCTATAATTGTTTGGGATTTCCTTTGTACCCTTTTTAAACAATGAGTCTGCATTTGCATTCCTCTGACACCTCACCTGTACCTGGTGAAGGTTGGAAAATAATCCTCAGAGCATCTGCTATTTCCAACCTGACGACCTACAATATCCTGGGGAACAATCCATCCAGCCCTGGCGACTTATCCACTTTCAAGAGTTCCAGCATCCTGAGCACTTCCTCTCATTACGATTATTTCTTGTCTTTCGACAATTTGCTTAAATGTAACCCTCCAGTTCCGAACTTTCCAGCTTCTCATTATTTACTCTGATCAAAATCCTTCACACATGCACACATACAACTATGTTCTGTGTAAATAAAAAGCAAAGGGTAGCAGACACATGAGAACACCACCCCCTGCAAGTTCCCCTCCAAGCCATTCACCATCCTGACTTGGAAATATATCGCCGTTCCTTCACTGTCGCTGGGTCAGAATCCTGGAATTCCCTCCCTAAGGGCATTGTGGGTCAACCCAAATCAGGAAGAAGGCAGCTCACCCCCAGCACTGTCCCAGCCAGTGTTACCCATGTCCCATGAATGAATTTTTTAAAAATGTTTTTGTGCACGCATTACACCTTCCTCATTGAGAAAACGTTATATAGACTGCTAAATCCTGCTGCTTTCCCCATGGTAACAATCTGAATAGTCACGGGCTACATGCCCAGTCCTAAGGTTAACCAGCTAGTTCAGATTGGTAGTTAACTGTTTCTGCTGCATGGTCACTGGTGGTGGACTGATTAAAATCAGGGCTGCTGGAGGAGTGCAGATACCTCGGAGCAGGTGGGAGCTGGAGGAGAGGATGCTGCCGGGGTGGGGGGGGTGCGGTCAGGTAAGACCATACGAAATAGGAACAGGAGGAGGCTGTTTGGCCCCTCGAGTCTGCTGTACCATTCATGAGGATCATTGCTGATCTGACATTGCTCACGTCCCCTTTCTTGCCCTTTCCCCTTGATTCCCTGACTGATCAAGAATCTTTCTCAGCCTCAAATAGACACAAGGATTCTGTCCCCTCAGCTCTCTATGGCAAAGAGTTCCAAACAGTCTTAACCTTCTGAGAGGAGAGATTCCTCCTCGTCTGAGTCCCTTTATTCTGGGGGGAATGGTAACATGAGGATGACAGCAATAATATTTGTGGGTCAGTATTGGGTGGATTGTGAAGGCTGCTGATTTGTTGCTAATGATCATGCCCATGTGTTTATGCATTGGTCCTTTGGAGAATCTTTACAGTGAATCTTCGTGTTTTTCCAGTATTCGGGCTTCCAGCAGACAGCAGACAAGTGTTTTGTGTGTGGACATCTGATAATGGAGATGGTAAGCGATTTGCAGTGCTTCATATATAATAGTCAGCATGTGTAACTGCCTTACAGTGACTGTGCTGAGCGTTGATTGGATCACATTAGATGTAAAGTGTCTAAAGCAGAATGCTATTTAACACTGCATTCGTGACAAGCTCAATGAGCTAAAGGTGCCATACAGATAAATGGGGATGATCTCACTCTTGTTACAGAATCATAACAGGATGATGACCAGGCTGGGAAGTGAATAATCGAGAAAACTGAACGTTTAGGAAGGAGAGAGCAGGAGGAAAAGCAGGTGGAGTTACGGTGATAAGGGATAGGACCAGTAGATTAGTAAGAGAGAATGCTGTTCCAGTCTGACAGTGTGTGGACTCTGAGTGCAGCGAAGGAACAGCAAAATGCAGCAGACACTGGTTGGATTCAGTGATGGGCCACTAGGTTGTAATGGTCGTGTGTGGGCAGCTTATTAATCAGGAGATCAGTGAAGCTTGTAGCATGGGAAGCACAATTATGATGGTGGACTTCAAACTGCACATAGACGGGATAAATACTGAATCTGTGGAGGATGGTTTTCTTGAGTATGTTTGGGATGGTTTTCCACAGCAGTATAGAAACGTAGAAAATAAGAGCCAACTAGAGGGCATGCTGTTTTAGATCTAGCATTGTGCAATGAAAAGGGTTAATTAACAATGTTGTAAAAGAACCTTTAGGATCGAGGGTCCACAATGTGATAGATTTTTGTTTGAAAGTGGAGTAGTTTATTCTGAAACAGCGGTACAGGTGTAATGACTGTGTATAGAAAGTGAACAGTCTTTTTTTTTTAATGAACTATTGCACATCTTACAACAACGTGGATGGGTATATGGTTTGGGGGGTGATTGGATGGGTATATGGTTTGGGGGGGGATGGGGTGGTGGAGGGTAGTGATGGCGCGGCATTGAGACGAATGTGGGCCAAATGCTGGCAAACGGGACTACGTTGATTTAGCATATCTGATCAGCATGGATGAGTTGGACTAAAGGATCTGTTTCTGTGCTGTACAGCTCCCTGACTCTGACTCTACATTCCTTCAAGATATCAAAATTCAAAAAAGTCAGTCAACCATGGTGAACAACGGAGGTTCAGGATTATGTAACATTAAAAGAAGAAGCATATAAAATTGCTGGGAACAGCAGTAATCCTGAGGATTGGGAATTTTTTTTAGTATTCAATTAAAGAGGACCGGGAAACTAATGAGGAAAGGGAGAATATGAATGCAATCTAGCAAAAAGCATAAAAATGGACTGTAAAAGCTTCTATTAGTACATAAAAAGCAAATGTTTGATTAAAATGGTGTGTGGGTCCATTAAAAGCATTGTCAGGAGAATTTATAATGAGGCAAAGAGAAATGACAAAGAAGCAAAATAATTACTTGGTGCCTGTTTCACTGAGGAAGCTAGCAGAAATCTCCCAGCAGTTGAGATTCATGTGGCTCAGGAAAACGAGGAGTCATAAAGTCCTACAGCACGGAGACAGGCCCTTCAGCCCAAACTGGTCCATGCCGACCAAAATGTCCATCCATTCTAACCCCATTTCCCTGCGCATGGCCCATATCCTTCTAAACCTTTCCTATCCATGTATTTGTCTAAATACCTTTTAAATATTAACAACCACTTCCTCTGGCAGCTCATTCCATGCGCGTCCCACCCTCTGTGTAAAAAGTGTTGCCCCTCACGTTCCCATGTATTCTTCCTCCCTCTTACTTTAAACTGATGCCCTCTAGTCCTTGATTCCCCAACCCTGGGACAAAGACTAAGTGCATACACCCTATCTATGCCTCTCATGATCTTATACACTTCTATAAGATGCCCCCTCAGTCTCCTACGCTCTAAAGAAAAAAGTCCTAGCTTGTCCAACCTCTCCCTATAGCTCAGTCCCTTAAGTCCTGGCAACATCCTCGTAAATTTCTCCTGAACTCTTTCTAGTTTAATAACATCCTTCCTATAGCAAAGTGACCAAAACTGAACTCCAAGTGCAGCCTCGCCAACATCCTGTACAACTGCTACATAACTTCCCAATTTCTATACTCGGTGCCCTGACTGATGAAGGCCAGTGTGTCAAAAGCCTTCTTCACTCCCCTGTCTACCTGTGACTCCACTTTTAGAGAACCGTACTCCTGAACTCCAAGGTCCTTCTCTTCCACTGCACTCCTTAAGGCCCTACCATTCACCATGAAACTCCTACCTAGAATTGACTTCCCAAAATGAAATACCTCACACATCTAAATGAAACTCCATTTACCATTTCTCTGCCCACTTCCCCAGCTGATCAAGATTCTGCCACAGTTTATGATAACTTCCTCTCTGTCCACGATACCGCCTATTTTAGTGTCTAATCATACCTTGTACATTCTCATCCAAATCATTAATATAGATAACATACAGCAATGGGCCCAGCACCGACCGCTGAGGGACACCACTCGTCACAGGCCCCCAGTTCAACAGGCATCTTTCCACCATTACCCTGCGCTCTCTACCATCAAGCCAATTGTGTATCCAACTTGCCAACTCGCCCTGGATTCCAAGCGATCTAACCTTCCAGAGCAGCCTACCATGTGGAACCTTATCAAAGGCCTTACTGAAATCCATATAGACTACATCTATGGCTCTGTCCTCATCAACCTTCCTGGTCACTTCTTCAAAGAACTATAACAAATTTGTGAGGCATGATCTCCCACACACAAAGACATGCTCGTGCTGACTATTTCTAATCAAACCCTGTCTTTCTAAATGCATGTATACCTCATCCTTCAGAATCTTCTCAAGTAACTTACCCACCACAGATGTTAAGCTTACAGGTCTGTAATTTCCAGGGTTTTCTCTGCAGCCCTTCTTGAATAAGAGCACAACATTCACTACCCTCCAGTCTTCCGTGACCTCACCCCTGGCTAACGATGATGCAAATATATCAGCCAGGGCTCCTGCAGTTTCTTCTCTAGTCTCTTGCAGGGTTCTGGTATGTATCTGGTCAGGACCAGGAGATTTATCCATCTTCATGCATTCTAACACTTCCAACACCTCCTGTACTGTGATATGAACTGTCCCCAAGATATCGCCACTACCTTCCCCAAGTTCCCAAGTCGTCTCCTCTTGTAAACACAGAGGAGAAATATTCATTGAGGACCTCGCCCACCTCCTGCGGTTCCACACATACATGTTCACTTTGGTCCTTGAGGGGTCCTGTTCTCTCTCTAGTTATTCTTTTTCCTTTAATATACTTAAAGAATCTCTTTGGATTCAACCTAATCTTCTCATCCAAATCTATCTAGTGCTCCCTTTTCACCCTCCTGATTTCCCTCTTCAGTAAACTCCTGTATTCCCTATATATCTCCAGGGATTCCCTTGATCCCAGCTGCCTGTACCTGAGCCATGCGTCTTCCTTTTTTCTGGTCAAAGCCTCAATATCTCTTGTCATCGAGGGTTCTCGACTCCTGCCAACCTTGCCCTTCACCCTCACAGGAACATATAGACCTCAAACTCTAGTTATCACACTCTTAAAGGCCTCCCACTTGCCTGAGGTCCTTTTGCCTGCAAACCAACTGCTCCAGCCAACCCCTGCAAGCTCCTGTCCTAATTCCATCAAAATTCACCTTGCCCCAGTTTAGAACTTGAACCTGTGGACCAGTTTTGTCCCTCTCCATAACTATTCTAAAATTAACAGAACTATGGTCACTTGTCCCAAAGTGCTCCCCCACTGTCACCCCAGTCACCTGTCCTGCCCTATTTCCCAACAGTAGGTTGAGTTTTGCCTCTGCCCAGGTAGGACCCTCTATAAGCTGCTGGTGAAGGAAATTAGCATTAGGAGGATGATTGTACTGGGAGTCCAAAACTAGAGGGCGTAGGTTTAGGATGAGAGAGGAAAGATTTAAAAGGGACCTACGAGGCATCTTCCCACGCAGAGGGTGGTGCGTGTGTGGAATGAGCTGCCAGAGGAGGTGCTGGAGATTGGTACAATTACAACATTTAAAAGGCACCTGGATGGTCATATGAATAAGAACGGTCTGGAGGAACATGAGCCAAATGCTGGCAAATGGGACTAGATTTATTTAGGATATTTGGTAGGCATGGATGAGTTGGACCAAAGGGTCTGTTTCCATGCTGTACATCTCTATGATTCTAAATTAATGGAGCTGCAAATTCATGAAACCCCAGGATCTAATATTTTACATGACAGTGTTGATCCTTTAGTGATTATCTTTCAAAATTCTCAAGATTCTGGTGGATTAGAATGCCACTCTGCTATTTAAGAAAGGAGTGAGAGAGAAAACAGAGAAACTACAGACCTGTTACCTTCCATCAGTAGGAGAAAATGGTAGAATTTATTATAAAGGCTAGGATAAATAGACACCTAAATAGATAGAGATGTAAATTGAGAGTAGAAGGAGACCTGTTTTGTTGGGGTTGTCTTTTGGTGTAACTCATCAGTAAAATCTAATAGATTAATTCCAACTCTGCTAATGGAATATTGGCCTTTCATTCAAAGGGGCTGACTTACAATAGGATTGAGATCAATCTGTAGTTAGACTCTCTCTCTGGGACACTGCACTGAGAGGGGCAGTAACACAGCACTCTCTGAATGATGATGGGACTAAAATAGTTCATGTACATGGACAGTTTGCATGTTCCCTTTTGTCTTCCGTCTTGAGTGAAAATCTCCTCATAAAAGGCTGTCAGTTAGAGCTTTCAAGACTGATTTTTTTTTTTTTTACGAAGTGAATGTGTTGAGAGATTAGGAGCTGGATGTGGGTCAGCCATAAGTGGATCGAATGGGAGAGTGTGTTCGGGCTGTCCCTGTACGAGGGTCTAGGGTAGAGGAGAGTGGATGAATTATAACGGGAGAGTTATGTTGTGCAGGAGCCTGTACCTGAGAGAATCTCTCTGACCCTTGGTGTTGGTGTACAGATTTTACAGGCTCTTGGCAAGTCCTATCACCCAGGCTGTTTCCGCTGTGTGGTCTGTAACGAGTGCCTGGATGGTGTACCCTTCACTGTCGATGTGGACAACAACATTTACTGTGTCAAAGATTATCACACGTGAGTGACCAGCTTGTGGCATCTCTCCCATTGGGTTCCAAAGCTGATTAAATCCTGGTTCCCTAGTTACTGGCCCTGCAGCCAGGGGCAACTGGTTCTGCTTAGGCTGCCCAAACCATTCAGGACTGTGAACCTACCTATCACAATCAATCGATTTACTCCTAAAGAACAGGCCCAGTTTCTCCAGCAACGTTAGTAATCCAGCTGTTTAACAAGGCTTGTTCCCTTTATCTACAGCTGGTGATGTGCCTGAGCAAAGGTCCCCATTCCCTGCCCCACGAGCTCAGGTTCACTAAACAGCAGGGACTGCTGGTGTTTGGCTCAAATACTGTTTCACTTTGACTGTGATCACAGGAGGACCAGCGGGTGCTCCTCTTCAAACATAACATGTCTACATGAGACAGGGCCTCTGTTTAACACTGAACCTTCCACAGTGCAGCGCTCCCTCAGTACTGCACTGTTGTGTCATTCTGAAACAGTGGGCTCCTGATCCTGTAAATATCATTTTATCTATACATGAAATGGGAAGTGGACAACTCCATGTGGTTCTAAGTTGATCAAAATCCCTTGATCCGACTCTATCCCATTTATCCTCTCCTGGTATCTGTTAATCTGTATATTACCCAGTCCTCCTGACGCCTTAATTAGACTTCAGTCAATAATGCACTCTATGGTATCTCGCTGTACAACTTGGTTCTGGTTTTTCTGTGTATTTGTGTTTAATTTGTGACCAATTTTCTTCTGGTTCAGGGTTTTTGCACCAAAATGTGCGTCCTGTGGACATCCGATTCTGCCAGCACAGGTACTGCCTGCATCTCCCCTCTCTCCCCGCGCCTTCGCTGCAGTCTGTTGTGTCCTCCTTTAAGATGTGTATTTTACAGTCATGTGAAAATTCTGAAGGAAAGCAAGTGTATAGGAGGGTGGGGAGAGGTGGAGGAGTGGGGCTGTGCTGTGGTGATGATGACAGGATGTTCCTGACTGACTCTCACTGTGTTTCAGGGTTCGGAGGAGACGATCCGTGTTGTGTCGATGGATAAAGATTATCACGTGGAATGTTATCACTGTGAGGTAAGCCCCTGGCCATGCTCCTTTTCCCTGAGCTCGGCTGAAGTCAGTGGGGCAACAATACATCATAACATTGGCTGGCCAGCCTCGCTTGGCAACTGGCCAACAGAACGGCCAATAGGAGGAGGGCAGTGGTTGCTGGGATGGTTTGTTTGTAGTGACCTATGACCCTGGCTAATTGCTCTGTTGTTGTCCTCAGGACTGTTGCTTGCAGCTGAATGATGAGGAGGGTCGTCGCTGTTATCCGCTGGAGGGGCATCTGCTGTGTCACAGCTGTCACATCCGGCGCATCAACATTCCCCCAGCACCACATCCCCCTCCGAGTTACCAGCTTCATGTCACTGAGCTGTGACTACAGGAACCTGGATGTTCATGACTGGAGGGGGCATCTCTGCTCCTGTCCCTGTCCCCCAGGGACCTCAATCTGAGGAGGTTTCCTCTGGACAGGGAGGGAGTGACCACTGTTACCGTTGGAAACCAATATGCCATCTGAAACCACGGTGACAGTGTCAACCAGAGCCATTTGTAGGAAAGTTGGGGCCAGCACTCTCACCGAGAGGAACTCGTTGACTAAATCCAGATGTGCTGTGGCCATGGACGGACAGACTGGACTTTTCTCGGGACGGGCCAGAGAGACAATCCGCACCTCGCACCATCTCCCGCTCAACCTTGTGCCCGAATTTCCAAGATGGCAGCTAGACCTTGCACACATCCAACTCTAACCCAATTTGTTTGTTGATGGCCTTCACTAAATGGTCAGATGGTGCTGGCTCAGGATGTCCTCTCTTTGAGCGACCAAAGCGTGGTTGTTCCTCTCCAGAAAAACAGCTTCCCTGAGATGCACTTCAGCACACAGGGGACCTTTGTCATCCTCATGTTTTTTAGACTGAGGTACCCTCCTTTGTCTTATCAATAGCAACCGCTGAGACAGACCTTGGCCCCAGCTTGCTGGGTAATTCAGCACTTACTAACACACCTCCCACTCTATCATTAACCTCTTCTGTACCTGTGACAACACACACCAGTGTATTGACTATGCAAAGTAATGCAACCATTTTATATAAGACACTTGATTGGTTGCAATGTACAGCAGGCCCAACTTTGTAATTTTTTTAGTTTTTTTTAAAAAAGGGTTTTTCTTTATTCTAATTGGATAAGACAGTGCATTTGTTTTGTACTGATTACTCTGCAGACACAACACCTCTGTATGGTTTCAGATTTTTCCAGAATGGTTTGTGCTGTTGGTATTTGCTCAGGTTTGTGAGTGTCATTTGGAAATGATCTGTACAGACTTCCTCCTGTCTCGCAATGGCATCCAGACCCCACCCTTCCAAAAGGAAAGCAGGGAGGCCTCTCTGAACATGGAGTGTCTTCAGTTATTGGTGTTTATTGAGTTTGGGAGTACAGCTCACCAGTTGATTTGGGCAGGCTGGTATTGAATGACAACCGGTTCCCCACTGACTTGAAGTTCTTGAAAGATGGCACTTGTGCGTCCATTTCACTGCCCTCCCCTTCCCTCCTCCACCTTATTTATTTATCCCCATGGTCCTATCCATTCCCCAGGATCTGCACCCACCCTCCCATCAGCTTCTGAGAGATGGGCCTCTTCGCTCTCCCTGACTAGCTTTCCCCACAGCTGGGCCTTCGGGTCTCCTTGTTGGCTTTTGCCACCCCTTCGTGAACAGATATGGTGCTCCATTTTCCTCTAACCAGACTACTAATACTGTTAGGTTAAAGTGTCAGTTGGTCCCCGTGCCTTGAGTTCAACTCAGCAGGAAGTATCTGGGGCATCACAGTCTGGATGGAATGTTCTAGCATTGGCCATGTCCCTGGAAAGGTTGACCCTGATTGGTCAGCGGGTGTAGTTGATGTGGGAGAGAGGGTTAGGGGGTGTGATCCTTCCTGGGATCTGAGCTGGCTGTGTGGGTTTCTGAACTTCCTGCAGCAACGAGAGGGTGAGGCTTGGGGTGGAATCGTTGGTTAAGGTCATGATCAGAAAGGAAGTGAAACCGGAGCGTTTTCCCCCCACTAAAACTTTCACGTTCTGTCCTGTTAATCTCCCTAAAACCTCTGTGGGGTGGAAAAATTCAGTCTTTGATTTTGTTGAGGCAAAGAAAAGACATGTAGATTTATTTATCTTAAAAAAAAAAAAGCCACATGATATCAACCTAAATTATTAAACATGTAAATGTCAAAGGTCATTTAACCTTGGATATAATCTGCCTTTTTTGTTCAAATACAAGAAGTTTTGTAGTTAACATTGACAGTGTTGCTTTGTTTCTGCTTGGACCAGAGGAAGTTGCTTTTGTCATCCTAGTCTCTCAAACCAATAATTGTGTAAAAGAATCCTTGTTATGACGGCTGTGTGTTTGATAAGACCATGGTCAGTGTGAACATTGAGCAGCTCCTAGACTGATCCAGAAGCCCCAGTCTGAAAATGACAGTCTCTGCTGCATTTGCTAAGGAAGGCTGTGGGCTGGGAATAGACTGAGAAGGTGCAGCACTCTCTGTTTTCTCTGAGGCCTGAGCCAGTTATTTTATTTTTTTCTCACCCACTTTTAACGTGATTCCAAACAAACAGCTTCCAGAGGTCATGACAGTCAATGACTATCTCCCAGTTGTCAATGCTATGACCTTAATAACTCACTTGTAAATGTCCATCCAGCAGAGATATGGACACTCTAGAAATCATAATCCAGTGGTCAGTTTGCTGTACAGAATGTCTCTGGGTCAACAGCAGTCATTTATCTCGTGAATGTAGCCCAGCCAATGCAGAGCTCTTGTCTTCACAATGAGCGTATGCAGGTGGGATTAGCACTTACAGGAGCTCGAAGTCGATGACCCTGCCTCCTGCCTGTCCTGGTCTGACCGGTGTGTGCTGAGGATGCAGGTTTAGTTGACTCAGTGGAGTGTTTGCAGTTAGCTTGCTGTTCCACTCACTAACTCAGCTTGGATATAACAAGCTGTAGTTTTTAATGAGGCGTGTTGGTTCCAGGAGCAAGTGATGGAGTGCGGTGATTGTGGAGCTGAAATATGTTGATTTATCAACTGCCTCCAACAACACAGGTGCTTGTAAGATGTCAATGTTCTGGACCTTAACAGGTGCCTTTCTGCTGCTGATGGTCAAACAACCATCTCTTTCCAATGAGACACTGTGTCCAATTGGAGCTGAAAGTGTTCCTCAGTGAGGAATGACTGTCTGTGCTCTGAGTCTCAGATTCAACACATTTGTCTTGACTCCCAGAATTCTGGTCTGAAAGTGGAGAACCTCTAAGGTGAAAGTGAGGGAAGCTCACAGCGAGCAGCTTCGAACAGCCATTAGAGCTAGAACTAGGCCATTCAACATGATCATGGCTAATCTGATAATTCTCAACTCCACCTCTCGGCCTTTTCCCCATAATCTTTGATTCCCTTATTGATATCAAAATGTCTATCTCAGCCTTGAATGTACAGTAAAGTCTGACACTGTTGTCTGTTCTGGGGCCTCATGTGCCTCCAACTGCAAACTGCCAATGGTCTCCGGCAACTGTGGGTCTAGAATAAATACAAACCAAGCTGTTGTGGAGCAGTTATACAAATACACACACAGCCATTGTATATTTTTTAAGACAATCAATCAAATGTCTGACTAGCATTGCAAAGCAGTATTTGTCAACATGTCATTACTGTTGTTATTCCTGCTGGTGGGAGACTGAGTAGGGAGGGAGGGGGTGTGGAACTCCACCCTCAGTAAGCTTGTCACCAAACTCCCATTGTGTGAGTGATTTCCCCAATCTGTAAAATCTATCTTTTAGTTTGTCTGGATTTTGATTGTGGACTAGAATAGGAAATGGACTGGCTTACAAACCAATGATTGCTGTAGATTGTCACATTACCTGGCCCTCTTCGGAAGTGTTGTTTACACTGTGTTTGACCATGGAGGGGAAGGTTATCATAGAATCCCTGCAGTGTAGAAACAGGCCCTTCAGCCTACCAAGCCCTCACCGACCCTCAGAGCATCCCACCCAACAACCCACCTAAATACACATCCCTGAACACTACAGGTAATTTAACATAGCCAATCCACCTAACCTGCACATCTTTGGACTGTGGGAAGAAACACACAGACACGGGAATGTGCAAACTCCACCCAGTTGTCTCAGGGTGGAATTGAACCCAGGTCCCTGGCCACGTGAGGCAGCAGTGCTAACCACAACCACCGTGCTAGGGTGGTGTACGATGGCCGAGTCAGCTAGCAACGAGGAGCTGATCGTCATCAAACCTGCCAACAGCTATGTGATTGGCTCCCAGGTAACCAAGCTTGTGGGGGTTGTCCCTAGTGCTGGGGGCACACTGCACAGTCAGAGGTAGAGGTTAGGGTGACAGTGAGGAGTAAAAAAACACACGGATGTTTGTGATGGAAACTTTATTTTATATTTGCTCTGTTTTCTAGAGTGAGTGTGCAGGGTTAAGCCATCACTAATATGTAAACTGACTTCCACTTATAGTGTGCAGACTCCACACCCACCCCTGGAGACTGAGATCCACATGCTCCCACAAAGCCCCACAACTCTCCAAGAGAGAGAGACACAGACACAGACACAGACAGACAGAGACCCACAAGCCCACAGACACAAAGTTGATGGCTGTGACTCACAATGGGAGACCTGGTCTGCAAATAAAACAGATGAGTCACTGGTATCATCTACGATGTCCAATAGGGATTCAGCGGGACATAAGGAAGATTAAACTGAGCACACAGAATAAAAAGCTCCTGCCACACAGTTACAGTATAGTTCCTACAGGGGGTGGGGAAATGTTCTCTGATGGATCTGGATGTCTCTTGCTATAGGCTCAGCCTCTGGTCTTCTTGATGAAGTTGATCAGTCCATTGGTGGAGCTGTCGTGAGAAGTCACTTGGTCTGAAGTGGCCAGTTCTGGCTCGATAACTTTGGCCAGCTGCTTTCCCAATTCCACTCTGCAAAACAGCCAGAACACATCAGACAGCACTCTTAAAACCCACCTCCTCCAGACTTCTCAGCTCTCACCAGGTTTTTAAAACTACAAAGGATAAGTTACATTTCAAAGAAGTGCACATTCACTAAAATATGTGTAATGGAAGTCTATTCTGGAAAGGGAGGGTGGAGATGGGAAGGAGGTTCTTTTTAGAACAAACAAGGGAGAGACTGAATTGAGCTGTTCAAAATCCAGAAGTTGGGGAGGGGGCGGCTGGGGGAGAAGGGGATTTTGATTGACTCAAATGAAGAGAAAATGTTCCCAGGGGCAGGAGGATCAGTAGCCAGAGGGACAGCAACAAACAAACAAACAAACAAACAAACAAACAAACAAACAAACAAACCAGGGCTGAGCAGGCTGAAAACATTCAGAGAGAGAGAGAGAGAGAGTGAGGATGGTCTGGGACGAGTGCTGGAAACAAAAGCCTGAGGACCCTCCCAAACCAAAAAGGAATGAGATGAATATTTGAAAAAGGCAACATTTCCAGGGGAATGGGAAGAATTGGGGAAAAAAAACTGCTTCAAAGAACAAGTCAATGTACAATGGGCCAAATAGTCAGCTGCATGATTCAGTGAGTTTAAAAGGGATCTCATTGGAGGTTTTAAAATAACAAAAAGCCTGGACTAGAGTGGAAATGGGGATAGTACTTCCCCTGGGGAGGGGGTGGTGGAACAAAGGTAGGCACAGCCTTCAGATTCTAAACGAGGCTATTCAGGGGCATCAGAGAGATACAGGGTGAAAGAAAATCCAGAAATTCTCAACTGAACAACTTTAGTAAACAAACAAAAAACAGATGGACAAAAAGACCAAGGAAAATCAGTACCAGCTCAGCCACGATAGCACAGGCTGGTGGGCTCAAATGGCCTGATATTGCTGGATATATATAAAAAAAAAAAAAAAATCAGCCTTTTCCAGTCCCAAGAATACCTCTCCCAACCACTCCACACAATCATCACCCCAACCCCTCACCCAGTACCATCCCTCACCCCCAGCGTAACAGAACTAGATTCTTACCCCCACTGGTCATAGCTGTTGATGTCCCAGATGACTCCTTGCACAAAGATCTTGTGTTCGTACATTGCTGCAGATTGAAGGGTCAGAGGGTTATAATGCAGACTGGCCAATAGAGCATTTATCCAATCACAACAGCCCCCCAAAAATAAACACCACCCTACAGAGGGGGGCTGGATAAGCTCGAGCTGTTTCCTTTGGAGCAGAGAAGACTGAGGTGTCAATGGGGGGGAACCCGATAGAGGAATGAGAGACTCTAAGGTGCATGGACAGGGTGGATAGGAAGCAGCTGTTCCCTTAGTTCAAGGGTCAATAACAAGGGGGCATCATTTTAAAGTGAAAGGCTGGAGGTTTAGAGGGGATTTGAGGAAGAAGCTTACCCAGACATTGGTGAGTGTCTGGAATGTGCTGCCTAGGAGGGTGGTTCAGGCAGGAAACCTGAAATGTCATAACATTCAAGGCTATAGGCCTAGTGTGGGGAAGTTGGACTAGTATAGGGAGCAGTGTATTCTGGGTAGAACAGATATGATGGGCTGAAGGGTGTCTTCTGTATAATTCTACAACTCCAATGGTTCTGAATGAAGGGGCAGGTTTCTCAGGGTCCTTGCTGATTAAAAGCCCCTCACCATTTGTGTGTACGTGTGACTGTGGGTGTATAACAGGGCTACAACCAGCAGATACCCCTCGACCAGGAAATGAGAGGAGAAATTAGTATTTCACACAAAACAGCTTCCCGAGGAGTTTATACAATCAAGGCTTCTCCGGTCATGAGCTTCACTGCCTGGACTAGAATTCACTTCCCATCCCTAATTGCCCCCTCAAGGGGCTGGTGGTGGAGTTGAGCTGGAACTGGAGACCCAGTGCAGTCAGTGTGGACTAGGGATTCCTTCAATGTCCACAGGGAGGCAGTGTCAAGACAGTGACCCAGCGATGCTAAAGGAACAGCAATTCCCTGCATGCTGCCCATCAGGCAGAGGACCCACTCACCAATCAGAGCTCCTAGAATATAGGGAGTCAGCTTCTTGAAGACTATGGAGTTGGTTGGCCGATTGCCCTCGAAGACCTGTGAGAAACAAAAGAATTTTAAACCAGAGGCTGAGGACTTGACCCCCAGAGTGACTGGGCAGCATCATGGCATCACAAGGGCACAGGGTGGCACTGCAAGGAAGGGGCAGAGGAGATACAAACAATTATT